ATAATATTATATTATTGTATATATAATAATATATTATGTATATATATATTATATTATATATATATATATATATATATATATATATATATATATATCTATATATATATATATATATATATATATATATATATATATATAAGCACGTCAACAAATGTCTTTGTCAACAACGGACTGAGTCCGGTGTTGACAAAGGCCCAGATCGGCCGAAACGTTCATCTCTCTTTCCCATTTCTCTGTGGATTTTCTGCATCCATAGTCCACAGGATCAAGAGCAAGTAGAGTACTATAAAGTTGGGAGGTACAAATATACCAGGGATAACAGCTCTATATGACGGAGTCCTAGAGTTAGAGCCCGCTCCCCGTTAACACGTCTAGCTAGGCACAATTACGTTAGCGTTATTATGTAAGCTCAGCTCGCTGCTGACTTAAATTTACACATGTTCGAAATTATATAATTATTCTAAAAGATAGTGGGGAAAAATAATTCCCAGTCTCTTTTCGTAAACAATTGTACATTTAGAATTGTATTTTACCTGAATTTACAGCTATTGATCCAATTTTTATTTACATCATCACCCAGTGATTGTTGTCATGTATTAACTCCCAACAGAAAGTGAGAGACGTGCCGAGACCATAGAGGCAGCAGAAGCACCGTGGGAGAGTCATCAGTAAGAGCAGTGAGAGTCAGCAGGCGTGGGAGAGGCATCGGTAGGAAGGAGGGAGAGGCAGCGCAACCCGGTCTGAAGGAGTGCCTCTGGTGTTCTTCCAGGATGGCGGCCATAGTGAAGGTCTCGTGGGCCTCCCTGCTCATCGTGTCCATCTTCTCAACCCTCACCCACTCTCAGTCCTGTGAGTACTGCCCCACCCTCACCCACTGTCAGTCCTGTGAGTACTGCCCACCCTCACCCACTCTCAGTCCTGTGAGTGCTGCCCACCCTCACCCACTCTCAGTCCTGTGAGTACTGCCCCACCCTCACCCATTGTCAGTCCTGTGAGTACTGCCCCACCCTCACCCACTCTCAGTCCTGTGAGTACTGCCCCACCCTCACCCACTCTCAGTCCTGTGAGTACTGCCCCACCCTCACCCATTGTCAGTCCTGTGAGTACTGCCCCACCCTCACCCACTGTCAGTCCTGTGAGTACTGCCCCACCCTCACCCACTAACAGTCCTGTGAGTACTGCCCACCCTCACCCACTCTCAGTCCTGTGAGTGCTGCCCCACCCTCACCCACTCTCAGTCCTGTGAGTACTGCCCCACCCTTACCCACTCTCAGTCCTGTGAGTACTGCCCAACCCTCACCCACTCACCGTCCCGTGAGTACTACCCACCCTCACCCACTGTCAGTCCTGTGAGTACTGGGCACCTTCACCCACTCTCAGTCCTGTGAGTACTGCCCCACCCTCACCCACTCTCAGTCCTGTGAGTACTGCCCCACCCTCACCCACTCTCAGTCCTGCTAACCTAACCAGGAACGCACGCACCCAAGCCACCCACCTAACCAAACTTACTAATACATATAAAACGCGGATATTTGCGAGCCGCTGCTGTTCACAGTATTATGTAATTTGTACGTTAGGGTCATAATGTGGACAATGAGACGTACTAGTAGAGAGGACACGTTAGTAACTTCCATAATGTCCCATACACAACTCCCATAATGTCCCTGTGTATGGGACGTTAGTGTCCCATACACAGAAACCAGGAACAACACCTAATAAATGATAATTATGCCAAATTCTTCAACAAGGAATAAAAACAGCATTCTTGAGAGGCGCGTAGAATATGACAATAGTGCTGCCCTTTGTTTCAAGTCGCTTTTCATGGCGGGAAATGCAGTTGGGCAGCTTTCCTTTCCCCCTTCGTCGTATTCCAGATCCTTGTCCTCATATTCCTTCTTAGTGATGTATAGTGGTGCTGGCTTAGCGCTCCTGATAATTACCTTATCTTGCAAGTCGCTGTCACACGAGTGTTTGCCTGACAGCGACTAAAAGAATTAAGTCAGCTCTCAAAAAATTTCTCAGTTATGTCTTTCATGATCCACTGACAAGGATCTTCCATCCCATCCATCATTGTTTCATTATTTCCTTTTCTTTCACCTGACTCCCACAGCTAACCAATGCGTGGACAAGGACGCGCAATGCAAGACGTGGGCCGCACGCGACTACTGCAGTTCCCACCGGGAAAATATGGCGAACCTTTGTCCAGCCACTTGCAACCTGTGCAAAGCTCCGCGTCGCTCTATCGCCAATCCAGATTTTGGTGAGTTTATTAAAAGGTTTCGGACCTTTTGTTTGCTACATTGTGGTTTATGGGATGGTTCATGCATGGCACGGATGGGAAAGGGGGCGTGGGGATGGAAGAGAGAGAATGAGACGGGGATATTCTATTGTCGATGGGAGAGTTGATGCAATGTGGTGATAATTGCAGCACACATGATGGGTGTGTGTGTGAGAGAGCAGGAATTAAAGTAACATTCAAATGTAAATGTGTTTTAATGTTTTATTGGTGTTACTTGCAGTATGTGGGTTGCCAATCAGCCCCGAGCGGGTCCCCACTGTCCCCAGAAGATCAATCTTCCCTAACAACAACCGGAAACAGAATGCTCCCTGGAATGCCCCGCCCTTCCCCAACTTCAACGGCAGACGCGGTAGCAGTTCTTCCAACGGGGGGCGCAGAAGGGCCAGATATGCTGAGCCTCAGCTTGGCGTCTCACAGGTACTGTTGCTATGGTCCTCTTGTCTTGTAGTGTTGCTATGGTCCTTCTTGTCTTGTTGTGTTGCTATGGTCCTCTTGTCTTGTTGTGTTGTATGGTCCTCTTGTCTTGTTGTGTTGTATGGTCCTCTTGTCTTGTAGTGTTGCTATGGTCCTCTTGTCTTGTAGTGTTGCTATGGTCCTCTTGTCTTGTAGTGTTGCTATGGTCCTCTTGTCTTGTAGTGTTGCTATGGTCCTCTTGTCTTGTAGTGTTGCTATGGTCCTCTTGTCTTGTTGTGTTGCTATGGTCCTCCTGTCTTGTAGTGTTGCTATGGTCCTCCTGTCTTGTACTGTTGCTATGGTCCTCCTGTCTTGTAGTGTTGCTATGGTCCTCTTGTCTTGTAGTGTTGCTATGGTCCTCTTGTCTTGTAGTGTTGCTATGGTCCTCTTGTCTTGTACTGTTGCTATGGTCCTCTTGTCTTGTAGTGTTGCTATGGTCCTCGTGTCTTGTAGTGTTGCTATGGTCCTCTTGTCTTGTAGTGTTGCTGTGGTCCTCTTGTCTTGTACTGTTGCTATGGTCCTCTTGTCTTGTAGTGTTGCTATGGTCCTCTTGTCTTGTAGTGTTGCTATGGTCCTCTTGTCTTGTAGTGTTGCTATGGTCCTCCTGTCTTGTAGTGTTGCTATGGTCCTCTTGTCTTGTAGTGTTGCTATGGTCCTCCTGTCTTGTAGTGTTGCTATGGTCCTCTTGTCTTGTAGTGTTGCTATGGTCCTCTTGTCTTGTAGTGTTGCTATGGTCCTCTTGTCTTGTAGTGTTGCTATGGTCTTCCTGTCTTGTACTGTTGCTATGGTCCTCTTGTCTTGTTGTGTTGCTATGGTCCTCTTGTCTTGTAGTGTTGCTATGGTCCTCTTGTCTTGTTGTGTTGCTATGGTCCTCTTGTCTTGTAGTGTTGCTATGGTCCTCTTGTCTTGTTGTGTTGCTATGGTCCTCCTGTCTTGTAGTGTTGCTATGGTCCTCTTGTCTTGTAGTGTTGCTATGGTCCTCTTGTCTTGTAGTGTTGCTATGGTCCTCTTGTCTTGTTGTGTTGCTATGGTCCTCCTGTCTTGTAGTGTTGCTATGGTCCTCCTGTCTTGTAGTGTTGCTATGGTCCTCCTGTCTTGTAGTGTTGCTATGGTCCTCTTGTCTTGTAGTGTTGCTATGGTCCTCTTGTCTTGTAGTGTTGCTATGGTCTTCCTGTCTTGTACTGTTGCTATGGTCCTCTTGTCTTGTTGTGTTGCTATGGTCCTCTTGTCTTGTAGTGTTGCTATGGTCCTCTTGTCTTGTTGTGTTGCTATGGTCCTCTTGTCTTGTAGTGTTGCTATGGTCCTCTTGTCTTGTTGTGTTGCTATGGTCCTCCTGTCTTGTAGTGTTGCTATGGTCCTCTTGTCTTGTAGTGTTGCTATGGTCCTCTTGTCTTGTAGTGTTGCTATGGTCCTCTTGTCTTGTAGTGTTGCTATGGTCCTCTTGTCTTGTAGTATTGCTATTCTCCTTCCTCTTCGTAGTATTATTAATAAACAACATTATCTTTAACTTTGTCTACTTCCTGAAATGTATAATATTGAAATAAGAATTTCTATATGAATTGATTTACCTTCTTAGGTCACCACACATTAAGAATTCATGTAACCTGCTATAGTAATCACGAATTGTTCAAATAGTTAGAAAGTTTTTATGGTAAAATAGATTTTGGTCTAAAGATGGGAGTAAATTAGGTTGATTTTAATCACTGTCTTAAAAACAGAAATAAGTTTGGGCTAGGACCTCGGCTTGCACTCAAGGAGCTCGGGTTTGATCCCCAGGCGGGACAGAGACGGTTGGGCACGATAAGGTTATTCTTATAGAATCATTTTCGTCAGAAAAGTTAAAGATTATTATCAAGGCACAAGTGTTCTCAAAAGAACAGAAGTTGCTCTTAATAATTAAAAATAATAACAATAAATTAACTAACCATAGTTTACTTGCACATTCATATTAGAAATTAATGCAAATTCCTAATTAAGCAGTCACAATGCATTCAAAGATGACGTCTCATTTCACTGGAAAATATATTAATAAACTATGTAACCATTAAATAATTTACATATACAGAAAACCGGAACCTCCCTCCCCCCCCCCCCCCCCCGAAAAAAAAAAATGTTTTTGAAAAACCACTTAAAAATGAGAGAAATAATAAAACATACATTACACCACAGGCGCTGTATACAAGCTCTAATAACACAGGCGCTGTATACAAGCTCTAATAACACAGGCGCTGTATACAAGCTCTAATAAGACTCATTAAAGCTTACGCCACTATGATTAACCTGAGACGTTAACAGTGAGCTGTGTAACAAGCTGGAGACACAAGCACATCCCCTTAACAGAGCCCAGCAGTACCTGAGCGAGGTCACCCACTCTGTATACTTGGGGGAGTGTGAGGCTCTGGGATTCCCAGGTGACGAGGCCAACTTCCCTGGCTATAACCCCACACACAGACCCCCCCCCCCTCTCCCCCTGAGGGCTGGCGACGACGGGAAGGGCAGCAGAACAATGAACAAGTAAGGGAGATGGTAGCGGCAGGGAAGAGATGGGCTGGAAGAGAACAAGAGAGTCAGAAATGGTTACAGAGAAGCAAGGATAACTGTGAAGAAAAAGAGGGGAATAGGAGAGAGAGTGGAAATGATACACAGAGAGAGAGACTCTTACACCACTCTAGGAAAACTCTTCACTTCGTTCACACCGGATACAGGTAACAATGGTCGCCCCACCGCTAGCCACAGAGAGAGAGAGAGAGACAGAGAGAGAGAGAGAGACAGAGAGAGCGAGCCTTGAGCCTAGTAATCTTGCGGGTGCAAGGCTCATCTCACAATCAATACCGCATCGAAACCCTTTAGGTGGCAAGCCAGGACTGTCTGCGTTATGCTAATCTCCCTCCCCCCCCCTCCCTCTACCAGATACACGCTCCTCGTAGACGAACCAAAATCAACACGGACCGAAGCGCTCTGAGCTAAACATGTTCCACAAGAATGTTAATGCGTAGTGGCGCGAGGAAGCGCTGTAAACACCACTCCCTCGGGAATAATGCTCAAAGTCGGTTACTGTGGGACTTTAAGGCCTTTGTCCTATATCTTCCTAAAAAGTCCCATGAGAATATATGTTTCAAATGAACCACAAAATCATTCCGGTGGTGACGATCACAGACGAAATGAGCTTGTTCAATATTGTAGTAAGAGCTCCGAGGGTAGCAACACAAGTAAGAGCTCCGAGGGTAGCAACACAAGTAAGAGCCCCGAGGGTAGCAACACTAGTAAGAGCCCCGAGGGTAGCAACACCAGTAAGAGCTCCGAGGGTAGCAACACCAGTAAGAGCCCCGAGGGTAGCAACACCAGTAAGAGCCCTAGGGTTAGCAACACAAGAGCCCCGAGGGTAGCAACACAAGAGCCCCGAGGGTAGCAACACAAGAGCCCCGAGGGTAGCAACACAAGAGCCCCGAGGGTAGCAACACAAGAGCCCCGAGGGTAGCAACACAAGAGCCCCGAGGGTAGCAACACTAGTAAGAGCCCCGATGGAAGAAATAATGTAATTGTACATTACTCCAGCTGTTAAGGAAGACCCTCACAGTTAATCTCTCATATTGTCATCAACTTGAGGGAGCTGTGTGATATTATATAATAACTCCTTGCTTTTGTGACTCGATGTTTTAGCAACATGTTTATCTGTAACTGTACATTCATTTTGGCAGGACAAACGAGAAGAATATCCCTTTGTTTTCATAACACAAAGACCACTCACTCCTCTGTCGTTGCTTTAGTTTTGCCAAGAATTAGGGCCTTGAATAATATAATATATGAAACGAGAAATATATATATATATGAAATATATACCTAAACTCATTGGGTAATATTCCCAGAGATTAATTTCATGGATGCGTATTAATCAACCAATCGTGATTAATTTAAAGATTTTTGAAAAGATGTCATATATTATTTTAAGTCTTTGAGGGGGAAGGAAGTTACAGGATGACGGTCAAGCAATATTGAAGCTTTTATTTACCTCTGCCAGTTTTAATTCTAAAGTTCTAAAGTTCTAAATTCTAATTCTAAAGTTTTAATTCTAAAGTTAATTTTAAAATTCTAAAGTAAATTCTAATTCTAAAGTGAAGGGATTCCTAGACCCACTGAGCTGTTTCCTTGACGCATTCAGGCATTGGGTAATGTCTATAGGGTTACTGGTGTCCCTCAGAGGCACCGAGACGTAAGGTATAGGACCAGTGCTAATGTTGATGTCTTCTTCTCTTCCAGACCGTCACCACACAGACCTCTACTGGCAACCCAGGTATACTTCTCTTGTCCCTCCACGTTACCGGTATTCCGCTAAGGGGAATAAGGAACTTATATAAAGAACACTGTGGGGGTTTAAATTGTTCTTCATGTGGATAACTTGATAATATGTAGATATGATTTATGTAGATAATGATTTATTGTAGATAATTTATTTATTTGTACTTGATTGATGTAGATAACTTTTCATAATATTCCTTTATCCCTTTTCTTGGTTAATATTATTCTCTATAGGCATTTCTATATATATTATGACAGCTGTTCCTCCTTTGGTTATTATTAAGTATATATTTTTTAATTTTCTTCCTTATTGCTTATCTCTTCTCTCTCATCCTATGTCTTAATTCCCTGTCCCGTGTCGGCTAACTTGTTTGATTACTTACGTCTCACATGTGTGTCTCTCATCTCCTCCGCTTTCCTCCTTTCTCCTATTCTCATTCTCGTGGGAAGGGCGTATATACCCATCCCTGCTTCCCATTCTTTATCAATCTGCTTTGACAATGATCCCAAAGGATGTGAAAGAGCTAATAATTCATCTCACCTTTCAAATATATATATATATATATATATATATATATATATATATATATATATATATATATAAATATATATATATATATATATATATATATATATATATATATATATATATATATATATATATTATATATTTATATATAATATAAATATATATATATATATTTATATTTAATATAATATATATATATATATATATATATATTTAATATATAAATATATATATTATATATTTAACTCAACAGGCCAACAGCAGGCGGAGAGGTTGAAGGTCGAGGACACCTTCTGCGGGGCAACACCCATCTCCGACAGGTTCCTGCTGACGGCAGCCTACTGCGTCCTCGACCACGAACACCCGTAAGTCCCCGCCCTGGACCCCTGTGTCGGTGGCCGCGTACTCTCCCGGTACGGGGCCCGCGTACTCTCCCGGTACGGGGGCCCCGCACTCTCCTGTAACCCGGTAGTGGCCTACAAGTTATACTCAAGACAAGAATATCCGCCAATACAGCAATTTAAAGATAGCTTATTATTTTCCTAACTAAGACTAGGGCTCATTAGGAATGGTGTTGAAGTTCCTGATGAAACTGCAAGCTAAGTGCTGTTATCATGTGGCTTATCTGTACACGTAATCTCCCTCTTTACTCCCACTGTGGGAGTAAAGACTCACACTTGAAAAGGTTACTAAGTGTACTGCGTAAGTTATCAAGTGCGCAATTTAATGCTGAATAACTGTGTTTTTTCCCTCCACAGGCTCACTACTGTCAGGCTCGGGGAACTGGACTTCTCTAAGGACAACGAGACAAACTCCCGTCCACGAGACTATACAATAGAGACCATCATCGTCCATCAGGATTATGAGTAAGCTTAAATCTGATATTTGGTGTGTGTCTGTGTTGGTGATTTTATGTGTGTGTGTGTGTGTGTGTGTACTCACCTAATTGTGCTTGCGGGGGTTGAGCTCTGGCTCTTTGGTCCCGCCTCTCAACTGTCAATCAACTGGTGTACAGATTCCTGAGCCTACTGGGCTCTATCATATCTACATTTGAAACTGTGTATGGAGTCAGCCTCCACCACATCACTGCCTAATGCATTCCATCTGTTAACTACTCTGACACTGAAAAAGTTCTTTCTAACGTCCCTGTGGCTCATTTGGGTACTCAGTTTCCACCTGTGTCCCCTTGTTCGCGTACCACCCGTGTTAAACAGTTTATCTTTATCTACCCTGTCAATTCCTCTGAGAATTTTGTAGGTAGTGATCATGTCTCCCCTTACTCTTCTGTCTTCTAGTGTCGTGAGGTGCATTTCTCGCAGCCTTTCTTCGTAACTCATGCCTCTTAGTTCTGGGACTAGCCTAGTGGCATATCTCTGAACTTTTTCAAGCTTCGCCTTGTGCTTGACAAGGTACGGGCTCCATGCTGGGGCCGCATACTCCAGGATTGGTCTTACATATGTGGTATACAAGGTTCTGAATGATTCCTTACACAGGTTCCTGAAGGCAGTTCTGATGTTAGTCAGCCTCGCATACGCTGCAGATGTTATTCTTTTGATGTGGACTTCAGGAGACAGGGTTGGTGTGATATTAACTCTAAGATCCTTCTCTCTGCCCGTTTCATGAAGGACTTCATCTCCCATTCTGTATCCTGTGTGTGGCCTCCTGTTTCCACTGCCTAGTTTCATTACCTTACATTTACTCGGGTTGAAGTTTAGTAGCCATTTGTTAGACCATTCATGCAGTCTGTCTAGGTCATCTTGTAGTCTCATACTGTCTTCCTCTGTCTTAATCCTCCTCATAGTTTTTGCATCATCAGCAAACAATGAGAGGAATGATTCTATACCATCTGGAAGATCATTTACATATATAAGAAACAGTATGGGTCCAAGGACTGAAATTAACCCTGCCAGACTCCACTGGTGACGTCTCGCTAATCTGAGACCTCACCCCGCACAGTGTCTCGCTGTCTTCTGTTACTTAGGTACTCTCTTATCCAATGTCTGAGTACCTTCCCTTTGCCATCCTTGAAACCATGTTGGTGTTGTGTCACAAAGTTCCTTCGCTCTACATGTTCCACTAGCTTTTTTTCGCACAATTTTCACCATTAGCTTGCAAATTAGGGACACTGGTTCAGTGCCTCCTGTCTATCCCCCTTCTTGTATATCGGGACTACGTTTACAGCCTTCCAAATTTTTGGCAGTTCACCTGTAACTAGTGATTTGTTATACACCATGGAGAGTGGCAGGCACAGTGCTTCTGCTCCTTCTTTTAGTATCCATGGCAATATTCTATACGGGCCTATAGTCTTTGTCACATCCAACTCTAGCAAAAGCTTCCTTACATCCCCACTGGTAATCTCAAATTTCTCTAGTAGTGCCTTGTCAACTATTCCTTCTCATATCTCTGTAACTTCTCCTTGCTCTAATGTGAAGACTTCCTGGAATTTCATATTGAGTTCCTCGCAGTGTACTGCTTACTGCCCATTGCGTACCGTGCTTCTGACAACGGTGAAGACACAAGTCAAGATGAGAATGGACAGTGTAGATAACGTCTCGTCTTTAAGAGCATTGTCAAACCAGGCGGATATCGCTGTCAACAACCATATCCTATCTTGGTGTTCCTGCAAGTCAGTGATGGCAACCTTGTCTTCAACTTGTCCTATGCACTTTCGATCTCCTGTAAATACCAAGTCCAAGGCTTTGTTTATACTGATTGATATAACATGTTTTCCCTCCCCCATGTCCACAGCCTGATCTTCCATGTCCTCCCTCCCCCCCCCCCCCTCCCCGTGTCCACAGCCTGATCTTCCATGTCCTCCCTCCCCCCCCCCCTCCCCGTGTCCACAGCCTGATCTTCCATGTCCTCCCTCCCCCCCCCCCCTCCCCGTGTCCACAGCCTGATCTTCCATGTCCTCCCCCCCCCCCCCCCTCCCCGTGTCCACAGCCTGACTTACTATGTCCCCTCTCCCTCCTATCTGCAGCCCCTCGTCGCCTGTGCGGTACAACGATATAGCATTGCTGAAGACAGTCGAAAAGATTGAGTTCAACGAATTTGTGTTCCCTTACTGCGTCTCCAAAGAGCGCCCCCCTCACAATGCCGATGTCACTGGTTCTGGCTTCGGACTCGTTAACGAAAGTGAGTTCCAAGTGTCTAATTGGCCACTTCAACCCAGAGGCCACAATATCCAAGAGTATCTATTATTCAACACTGAGTCAGTGTTTAATAAAGTTTATATTTAGATCTTGTTCCCACTGGGGATACATATAGCATGCCATCTTGCTTTGTTTATTTTTGTTTAAGGCAGTGGCAGGCTGGCGAGCCATCGCTCCGCTACTTCAGTCACTAATTTATTGTGAATATTTTAGTTTATCTTGAAAAGCTTCATAGGTAAGGTCGGTGTTTTCTATGAAGCTTTTCAAGGTAAACTAGTATGTTTAGTATGTCACATATGCACATATTTAATAAGTCAATATTGACTATACGAAAGTGCGAGAACGGGTTGCATTAGAGTATAGAAATTGGGAGAAGCAACGGTACTTTGTTGTGTTTCTCATTCGATTTAAAGAGTTTCTTTGACTGTAACTCTCTCTCTTACGTGCAGAATTCTCTGTAGAAAGTAAAATCAGTGAAGCACTTTTTAATTTTCTTCTACATAGTCTTCCGGACTTGACGCTTTCCTTCGGTAATTACTTACATTTAAATTTTTATTTTGTTAAAGTATCAGCATTAACAGCCATAAATTGGCTAGTCCACATTAACCAACAATTTAGAGGCACAAGAATTCTATTTGAAATTGTACATTTAATTAAAAAAAACTAATTATTATGCCTACTTATACAAGCAAGTACAGAGGTGTAGTGTACTAAACTCTGGTTCCATTACAGCCTATCAGTCGCCTATACTGCAAGAGGTGGATCTAAAGGTGATGTCTTCAGAGGAGTGTGAGGAAGTCTTCAAGAAGACGGAGTATGAGCAGCAGATAAGGAAGGTCTACCCCAGCCTGTTCCAGGGCAAGGATATCATGTGTGCTAGCTACCCAGGCCGCGGTCTCTGTAAGGTCAGCAATACCTCTGTTACACACAGAGATCACACTAACGTGATGCATCAAATGAACAAATCCACAAGGGCCGTGACGAGGATTCGAACCTGACGCAGGTTCGAATCCTCGTCACGGCCCTTGTGGATTTGTTCATTTAATACCCCTGTTGTCCGGCTTCACCTCTCTAGTTGACCTTAAGGCTAATAAGCATATTTTTAATCAAGTTTTGTAACTTAATGGTTGGCCTTTGTGGGAAGGAAGGGAAAAGATATTAGAGAAATTTAGACATCAGTTTAAATGGTCTGGATTTTTTAATTCTTGATCAGTCACTTGGATTGGTGGGTACAGCAACGATGGAGCTTGTTACAGAGTCGGCGTTCAATCCCCTATTGGCTCATGTAGTAGGACACAGATCTTAATCCCCCCCTCCCCCCCCTCCCCCCCTGTCCTCACATCCCAACTCCTTGTCTTTTCCAAGATCTATATATTCAAACCAGCTAAGCATTTCCTCCTGATAATTACCTTTAGGTTACCTCGCCTTACCTTTCCTACACAGGGTGACCTTACCTTACCTTAATAAGGAACCCGAGTGTGTTGGGGAGCCGTTTAAATTGAGCTAATGGGGGGGGGGGTTCAGTAGGCTCAGACCATGCTTGTCACCCCCATCCCCCATGATAACGTACTTCATATAACCCAACTTTGGCTGTTGACAGGGTGACGAGGGAGGGCCGTTGTCCTTGACGGTACCAAAGGGCAGAGCTCGCTACCTGGTGGGGATCGCCAGCTTCGCCGGCACGTGTGAGAAGGACACCATCATGCCCAGCGTCTTCACCAGCGTGGCTGATCACATCCCGTTCATTGACAGCGTCTTGTATGGACCCTGA